TTACTAGCTCACACAATACAACCACGATGCCTTTGAGGCTCTTCATCACCAGTTGTCAGCTTTTCAAAAAATAACAAGAGCTCCTCATTTTCATACCACCTACCAGCCTACACCCCCTATAGCATCTTACTCATTTTGCACGTGCTTTTATGATATACTTGGCAATGCAGATAAGTAAATGAGGTGTTTGTTTGGTATACATGCCTTCATCTCAGTTTTCCCAGGATTTAATCATTTTAGATAATCAAGACTATTCTGCTTGTGAGTCGACGTACATAATTGCTGCTCAGAAGGCACAGCGCCTAGACAGGTTGATAGGATTATCTTTGTACTTCACGCTGAAATCCTGTATTGATCCGATATAGAAAGCACAGTCTTAACTTTAATTACAACAAGTAGAAGTCTTTACCTATGTAAAGCTCTGCCTGAGCTCTGAGGGTGTGCTGGGCCACGCGAGGCAGGCAGGGCAGGGCTATGCGCACAGGCACCCTCCGTGCTGGTTCCCCTCTCAGGGAGAGCAGACCGGTGCACCGCGACACTGGTTCAGCGTGCCCGCACCACCACTACTGCTGTGCCAAGCGCAGCCCCACCACTTCTCGCTTGCTTTACCATCCCAAAGCCGGGCCCTAGGATCTCAGCGCGCTGCCCGCACCAAAGCTGGCACCCACCGCCGCTCTCCGACCCATCTGATCCATCTCCCCTGCCGCAGCCCCTTCCTACCCTCCGACTCAGCCGCCAGCCTCACGCGTGTGCCACGCGCCTGCACAAACGCCAACGCAGTTAATCTGGAGCTCGTCAAGGTTTTTAAAGCTGCACTCAATTATATATGCAAAAACTTATTTGCGGAAGTCTTTCCACGGAAATTAACACTGATGTGCTGCTTATGCTTAGAGTCAAAAGCAGATCCGGACAGTACAGTAACAATATTTATCTTGTAGAAGTTAATAAAAAGCTACCTGCAATGTTTCACTGACCTTACAGACAGGCTGACCAAGAATGACTCAGAATAACCACTCTGAGGGCTCGATCAGATACTTTCATTTCCATCTCGCACTCAGCCTCTGCCCCGGCCGTGCAGAACCCTGAGGGCTCGATTCTCCGACAGCAGCAGCAGCTGACAGTTATCCCTGCGCAGGGTACCGCCGGGGCTCACAGCAACCGGCAGCCGGCTACAGCCCTCTCATCTCGGCTACAGCCCCCTCGTCTCACTTGCACGTGTGTTAGGGTATTCCGTACCATAATGCAAGGCAGCTTTTAATTAGCTGACGAGTGAAAGTCGCCAAACTCACATTTCGTATCAGCTCTCAATCTGAGAAAGAAACAAAACAACACCCCCAGAAGGTCTAATTTTCATTTAGTTTGGGAAAGCCAAATGTTTTTACCAAGAAAGATCTGTTCAGTCAGTCTTGTAACAAGAACCTGTGGTACTTGTGCCTCTTTTGTGGTTCTTCAGCACAGATACTTAGATAAGGCGCGGGGAAGCGGGCAGGAGGGCTGAGGTCTGCTCAGAGATGACACCTTGCAGGGCTTCAGGCAGCCGCCCACCACCCACCCCAAGCGAGCAGCACCTTGAGGCACCTGACTATTCCTTGCCTGAATACTGCACGATAAGTTGTGATACATTAGAATTTGTATCTTTATTTCTTGACAAAAGTAAAAACATCAATGACATCATTTTCCCCACAGGAAAATTTAAAAAAAAATCCAGGGTCATTTTACCACCTGATTTTGAATGCAAGCAGTATACGCAAATGTCAAACAAAGTAATAGATCAGGGAAATTCAAAGCGTATTTTAATTAAAATTATTCCCATTCCAAATATAACCTAAATCATTACCACAATAAACATCACATGATTTTTTTAAAAAAGGGAAAGAATCCTCTTTAGAAAGTTACTGTTGTTTACCAGGTATTGGATTTTGCTTCATTTTCAATACTCCATAAAATATCAACAGGTGAAAAAGCATTTAACCACATTTCCAATCTAATTAAAAAAAAAAAAAATCTAAGTTAAATCAACAGATTTTAAGTTAGACTGTTGGATTAGAAGATAAGAGAAAAATTAATTGTGCATCCTGAGGAGCAATAACAGAAACCCTTTTGACCTAACACCCTTGCAGCACTAGCATGACAAATGAGAAACACTGATCTCCGCTGAGAGAACAGGGATAATGTTCCTGAGAGTGCATCATGGCTGCTCTCAAACACAACTTACTGACTCCATAAATCCAGAGCCAAATGATGACAATACAACAGAAACGGACCCCCAAGAGCGCACAGGCTGCGTGCCACAGTGCACGGTCCATCTACAGCCAGACATCAGCAGAATAAACTTAACAGCACAAAGTGAGAACTCTCCAGGAATCCAGCGTTGGATTGAACAGGTTTCAATTCTCAAAGGCAAATCAAAGGAAAATCATTAGCAGTTTGGCTTTCTGTGTCATCTTCTTTAGCCATTTCAACATTCAATTCTAAGTTCCAGTTTTAAACGTCAAGCCTTATGGTCTGCAAACTGCAATGAGAAGGAAAAATGAGAGATAATTATGCTACGCACCTATATCAGCCATGCACTTTTTTTTTCTTTTTATAAATGAGATATGTTTTAGCATTAGATTATCTTCATGCTCTGTGCTGGCATATAGAAATACATGCAGTTACTGTTGCTAATTTTCCATATCACCAAACAAACAAAAAAACCACCCGAAAAAAAGAGAGAGAGAAAAATACAGGGACAAAAAATTTGCTGTCTGTACGGTACATCAAACTACTATACATCTGCTACAGTTGCTGCAGGACTCAAATTCATACTTTACCCACCAATACCACCATGTTCTCTCACACAGACAAAACTGTATTTCGAACACCTTTATTTTTTTAATTCTTTTTGGGAGATGCAGGTGCCTGCAGGGATGCAGAGGTGGCAGAGGAGAACAAGGTAGTGCTGAACTTAGTTCTGCCTCGGCTATTGACTTGAAGCCAACTCAAGGTCCACCAAAGACAGCGAACTCTGTCCTCGGCATTGCACGGACTACTGAGGAGTCACCAAATCTGCAGAATTCCCACTCAAAGAAAACAGACAGACAAACCAACGAGAGTTACGGTGCTCCTACAGTATGAAAGTACAAGTTGGGAGAAGGGAAGAAGGAAACTTGTGCTTTTGCAGTGTGGTCATTTATTAAACTTTACTCCAATACTTGCCGAAGCCCCTCTTAAGCATGTGCCTTGCTGCAATCCTTGGTTTGTCTCCTTCTCTCTGACCCCCTTGCCCACCCCACGGCATGGCAGAGAGCGTTCTGCCCCGATGCAATGTTTTCACTGCCTGGTAGCAACACGCCTAATACCTATATGAGCAACGTGTGATCAAGTGGATACAAGCAGGTTAAGAGTATGTTTAGATTTGTAAATCAAAGTTTTTGACTTTCCAGCAGTGAAGTTCTATATCAGGCAAACAGGATACTTGGGAAAGGAACCTAAAACTGTAAAGACAGAATAACAAATTTCATGGATGGGATTGTGTGACAGTAGTTGGCAGTTCCTGAGAACAAAAACTAAGCTTGCAACAAGATCCAAAGATCTAGTACGAATCCTTGAGCAACAGGTATCCTGAGATCTCCAACAGCATTTGAAAGGACTGGCTGCTGCTTTGCTTGCAGCCATCCTATACCTCTGGGCTCTGTTTGTTGCCTGCCAGGATCAAGAGGAAATTCCCCTTCCTCTCTCCAACACATAATTATGCTTATGAAGGTTGGAGGGATTTTAGTCTTCCATTGAAGCTCTGGAGAACAGAGGTTGAGGCAGAGTGCCTGGGTAGGCTTAAAGCATCTGGTTCACGCGCCTTGCTCACATATTCAGATCTAAAGCCGCCATGAGATTTCACATCAAGAGGAATTCTCCTGCTTACCCGAAGGTCAGGACCTCCTTCTGGGAAAAAGAAAGGACCTTTCACACAATGTGATCTGCTTCCTAGGATCATCTGGGAAACTCACCTAACAAGTTATCTGCAATTGCAGAAACCAAAGATATTGGCAATGCCCTTGATAAGTCACAGCGTGATAAATACAAGGTACAGTACAACATTGCATATTCTGCAATGAAATACTGGTACATCAAACTGCAAGTCTGCAGCTGCCAAAGGGGATCCATCAGACTGATGGATCAAGTCTAGTGCCCATGCTTCAGATTTTTCAGTTATGACTAACCCTTTCCAGTAAAAAAAGAGTGATTAAAAAAAGTGCCCATACTTCAGATTTTTCAGTTATGACTAATCCTTTCCAGTAAAAAAAGAGTGATTAAAAAAAAAAAAACTTGCAAAACCCCCCATTATTCCTTCAGTCACAGCATTAGCTGATCCAAAGCATAGCACAAAGCTGTATAGGACCAAAAGACAATACGCATTTAACCAGCCTCTCCCCATATGCATGTGTATATACCTGTACACAAACACACATACACCTCATGTATTCTAGGAAACCTGCCTTGAGACACATTATGGCATCACATTAATTACCACATGTAAAGAACAATTTTAATCTATTGTCTGAAACTGTGGGTAGAGGAGTAGAAGTAGTGCTTGTAAAGGAAATAGTGTTACTCAAATATTGGACTTACTGTTTGCTAGAAGCTTGTTTCCTGAAGCTCTTAATATATTTCAACCCTCTCTAAAACTATGACTGAAAAATCTGAAGCACACACTAAGCACTTCGATGCCTATATGAGAGCCTCCCCTCAGCCTGACTTTATCGGCTATCCCCATCACCCGGTGCCAGGGACGTCCCGTCTGCTATAGGAATCCACGTGAATTCAAAGGACAAGGACTGTAAACCTCGCTGCAAAGAGAAACCTAACAACGAAAGCTTTAAAACCCTACACACACTCTGCTTACAAGTAGTTTAAAAATTAAGTGAGGTAGCAATTACCAGCAGACAGTTTAGTGAGAAACGCAGAGGACTAGAGGAGAAACTATTTTTAGAGTGACAGCACTAAGGTAACGACCCACTTACCGCAGCTTTCAGAGCTTGGTCTAGGTCTTCCAGTAAATCTTCTTCATCTTCCAAACCAACTGACAGACGAACCAATGTATCACTGATTCCAAGAGCTTCTCTATCTTCTTCAGGCACTGAAGAGTGAGTCATGATGGCCCTGGAGGAAAAAAATAGCCTTTTTTCTAAGAAGTGTTTACTTTTATCGGTAAAGACCAAAAAAATTGCTTTCCTGCCAGCATCCCCTGTGATTCTGTAAAGACTTTACACCTTTTGTGTACCACCTGCTGGTTAACCCACAGATGGAAAGAGATCCTATCATCAGCTACTATAAATCACGTGAACTGCAGAAAAGTCAGTGACTTGTATCTCCCAGCGTTTCACTACAGTATTTCCAAGCTACAAGTGAAGAATAAGAAGTGGATACTTAAAAATCTGGAAAGGAAAAAGGAGGAAAAAACCCATTCCTATTCCTCTTCCTTCCAGACTTTTTTTTTTTAGTTTTTTTCTGAAAAATAGCATCTAAAAGCTCTACTTTAAGCATGTGGAGAAACAGCTATAGTATACAATTTCCATTATAAAATCTCCAGGTTTTTTTTAACTTCTGTCTTCTCAGATCACTTGTCAAACTGTAGACAGTCAAACTGTCTTACACTGAGGAGTTTATTCTCTCCAGCTATGGAGGATATAGGTAAGAAGCTATTTCCCCCATGTGCTCAGTCACTGACATCACCAGTTAGCAATTACCTTTCAACTGCTTGAGTGTTTTAAGATTTGCTGTTATTCTAAAATGAGCAACTGAAATGATTTAGCATATAAGTTTAGTCATAACTCTCCATGTATCTTTCTGAAAAGCAAATTGGATTTAAGTAAAATAATCTAATTCCATAAAAATCCTGTTTTTTAGCCTTTTAACCTAGACAGGGACAACTAAGTATTACTAAAATCCCCACAAAATTTACCTGACATAGAGACAGATGCAGTTCGGTGTAGCATACTGAACACGCCCTCTTGTGTGAGCAGGCAGAACGGCAGACCTCTTTCTTTAACAGTGTGACCAAATCTGCTCAATACTACTCATTCAAACACACGCTGATTTCTTGGATTTGTTATCATAGCAGTAAATTGCGGCTCAGTCTCCCACTTCAAACAAGGAAGTGTGGAAATTCTTTCGTCACTGCATTCTTATATTCACAGAAGTCACGCTCATTTCTGGAGTAGCCACTGGTTTTTGTGCTATACAACATACTATCCTTGAATCTCAATTACATGCAAAATATCTTAGCTTTGTGTACTAGAAAATGTTAGAACTCCCATCAAAACAGAGCAGAAACTTTTTTGTTACTCCGCAGCTTTTTTAGACTTTTAAGATGAAGAATGACTTACGGATGCTCTGCTAGACTTTCATATCCTCCCAGACTCTCAGCCAGTGCAAAAACCTACCCAAAAAGTTAAACAGAAGTTAAAATAAGACGTGTAAGTTTACGAATGCTTAGAAAGAGTCAGTTTAATGAAAAAGGAATGTTTAGTGGTTGTTGGGGTTTTTTTTCCTAAGTTTTTCTATAATAACTTTTATATTATGAAAGGTATTAGCTGTAACTAGGGAAAAAAGTGTACATTTGGCAGGTAAGAGCTATTAAGATTTAGAATAGACTTGTCCTAAAAAGGCTCCGAAGAGACGCTGATGCAAAACTGAAATAACTCTGGAGTAGTTCCTACAATGCAATGCTTGGGTGGCAATGGAGGAAGAGCAGAAGGGAAAACGCACAACATGAGGGAGCAGGTTCTGCCTGGGCACCACCAGAGTGTTTATTCTGTTCAGAGGAAGGATAGAGCAGGCTGCCTGAAGAAAATAAGAGTCAGATCTCAAAAATTTCAGCTGAAGTTGAAGTGATTATATCCTATCCTTACATACTCTTCTTTCAGCATCACTCAATGTTCACGTTTAACACCTATATTTTCAGGCTGGCAAATAGCAGACTTGATGGGGAAAAACCCCAAACATTTAAGATTCTCCTCATAAGGCTGAACAGATTTTTTCACTCACTGCTTGGGTCTGATGGTTAGTTTAGTATTTTGAAAACCAGCCTAAATTTCTCAGTGCCTAACAGGACTAGTGTTTGTGAAATGCTTACTGTTAGTTAAGGTTTTTTTAGCACTGCTTTTTCAATTATGGACATATATTCCTGGATGACAGAAAGGCTCTCTAGAGAGCCAACTGTACTCAAGCATGGATTCACGATTTGTCTTTTGTGAATGTACTTACTGCCCTCAACATTTCTCTCCAGCCCTGGTTGCTCATATTGACTTTTTTCCCCCTTTAAAAAAAAAAATACAACTAAACCTATCAACCAAAGAATTCTCTTCTCAGCCTGGTTTAAGTAAATGGCTTTACTTTTGTACCAACGTAGTGACAAACTGATGGTTATCCAAGTCAAAGGGCTGGAGTGAATATACTCATAAGGGACTACTTCTCAGAACGTACTCTCTGATGCTTTTTGTTAAAGCTGATAGATCTCCTGTGCCAGGATTAAATGCTCTCTCTCATGTAAAAGGATATTTTGTGGGAAAATCATATTTTTAGTAAATTCATTTTCAGTTGATGACATTAGCTGGCAAGTAAGTAAGATAGGGAGAGAAAGAAGTTCTAATTTACCTTTGTCAATCATTACTGATTTGTTTTTCCAAGAACAAAACAGCAAAAACACAAGAGAAGGATGAAAATTAGCCAGAGATCAAGACTAGCAAACACATTAAAGAGTACAGGCAGAATGAATACATTGCACAGACAAAAGCAAAAGCCTATGGTTTAGGTAAAATAAACAAACAACTGTTCTCCAAACTGAGGGACTCCCTCTTTGCTTCATGACTCATGGCATTTCTCAGTAGGTTTTTCTCCTGATGAGTACTTTGAAATACTACAACAGTATTACACAAGCCACAGCTTCTCTGCTTTCAAATACTACAGGTATTTTTGCAAAAGGCTGGTATGCAGGCCCTTTATTAGAAGCAATGCCTGGGCTAACCTGGATATACTACACCCTACTGGGTAAACAAATACTTCAAATGAGCTGAGGCATCCTTTTCTTCCTTCTCATTAGCCTCCTATTTACAAATAATCTATTATTTAGAGATGGTTACACCCAAAAGACTTTAGGAGCTTTGCAAGTACAGAGAAAGACTCTCCCCGCCCCAAGAAAAACCATTTCCTTCCATTATCACCCTCAGAAGGACAGGCTCAAGTTCCTCTACAGTAGTGCATCTTTACCATCATTTACCTTTAAATTCTTGAGAAAGGTAGCAGCATGTTCGAGATTTCCTTTAATGTAAAAGGTTACCATCCCAGGACAGCCAGTGCACTGCCGCTTGATCAACTCATGCTGAGGGTGTGAAGGCAAGCCTGAAATTTGTAGAAGTTGCTTTAAAGTTAATTACCATCACTTCAAAGGGCAAAGCAGCTCACCCTCAGCTACGTAGAAACAGCCCATTGCCAAGGTGGACACCTAAGCCAGAGTCACCAAATGTGAAGGGTGCACAAACGACACGTAGTATTACAGTGCCCAAATCCAGCCTCACTCTAAGACGTCACCCGCTCTGAAGTCTTGCCAACCTACCTGGGAAAATTACTTTCTCCACCCGGGAATCTGACTCAAGAAATCGAGCAACAGCTATTGCGTTGTGGAAATGTTGTTTCATCCGGATTTGTAGTGTCTTCAAACCACGATTGCACAGGTAACAGTCAAAGGGAGATGGAACAGCTCCAAGAGCTACAGAAATTGAACAAGATTCCACATAAAACAAAGAGGTTTTTTTTAGTAAAACTAAATACAGTCCTAATTTCCAAAATTTCTAAAGTTAGAACAAGACAAGCGGAAAGACATCTGATGAGATCTGTCTTCCTCACCTCACACACATGGGAAGCCAATTAATGAGCTGAATTAACAAGCTGAAGACTCAAGGATTAAATTTATTAGGTATAATATACCTTTACTCCTTCTGTTGTAGACAGAGGGCAGACAGAACACTGCACAGAAATTTATTCATTACAACTAAGAGGCAGTAAAACTGTTAAAATCAACCCACGTAAGAAAATTCTGCATTAGGCATATCCTCTGATGTGTGAATGTGTTTAAAAAACCCCAGATGTACTTGACACAAGTTAGATGAAATTAAAGGCAGGCATAATTTAAATGCTTGCAGGCCTCTTCATATACGAAGTCAAATAAATATAGGAAATGATGGTGCTCCTCCTGCCATGGTCTTAACTATAACTTAGAGAGACTTTGTAAGCAGCCATGCCCCACGTAACTGCAGGTGCTGCCCACGGGAGACAGACCGCAGCCGCTCTGCATCTGACGCTTTCGGGACGTGCCACACCTGCCTCTGTGCGTGATGCACAGAGCACAGGCATTGCTCTCCGTGCCTCACCCGCGCGTGGCTCCGGGAAGCGCACTCGAGAGAGGCTCCGCAGCTCAGTCCTCCCTCGGGAGCAGCGGGGCACGCGCTTCTCAGGGGAAAGCAGGGATAGAGGGGAATTACAGTCCTGCAGTGAAGAATGCTGCCTGCATTCAAGCGCCTGCCACCAGACAATTCACCCCACTCACCAGCCCCTGGTGAACAAAGGTTGAACAACCCACACTGCTCTCAGCACTCTTCTAGAAGCAGTTAGGAAGTGGAGACCAGCGTCATCAACTTCATTTGAGACAGAAGCCACAGAGGCACACTGAAAGCTACCGTGTTCGCGTAAGGCCACCCTACGTACCAGTGAAAGGCAGGGAAGAGAATTCAGGTTTCCTGCATCTGTGTTACCGCCTTCTCTGCAGTCATTTACACTTCAGCACATTTAAATGTCTGAGCAACATCTCTAGATAGATTTCATACTTGTGTGCATGCAACATGCTTCCCATTACGAGCTGGTATATTTGAATGCAATTCGTTTTAAGGTATTTCCTACATTGACTACTTACAGTTTTGTAAGAATTTGAGTCTTTCGTAGAGATCATCACAGTTCACTGAAACAAGTCCCATTACAACATCACTATGCCCTAAAAATGCAAGGAGAGGACAATAATAGAATCAGCCATTCCATCTGCTCCAGGGTTCTGCTACAAACCCCCATTTTCTGAGTCTTGGTGCTAATACAGTCCCTTTTTTGTGAGACACTGGGTTCCTTCTCATTGCTGCAGCCGTCATTCCCGTGCAGCACATGAATCATAAGGCAGATTTCAGCTCTTTCTAAAGCTCTGGTCAGCAGTGTGCTCTGCCATGTGCTGCATGCATGCCCCCAGACACTTCCCCAAGCCCACCAGAGCCACTACCTGCCAGGAAGCAGGACATTGTACAGGAATCAGGCGTGTCCTGCGAGCAGCACCAGGCTGCTGTCTTAGCGAGAGTGAACACCAGCTAGAAAACTTCCACTTCTATCCACACCACCAGGGACGTGTGGTTACAACACAGCTATAGTCACGTTAGCTCCAGGTCTGGGCTCTTTGGGAAACAACACAGTGAATGCTTTTGGACGGGCTCGAACACAGCTGTATGAAACCCCCTTAGAACCTTAATATAATTTCTCGCAGCTACCTTCTACTGAAGCCACTTGCTTTGTTGTAGTCAAATTAAAGCCAACATGGCTATAAACACCTCTAGGTCTATTACCTGAAGTCAGGTCAATATTTCTTCACCCAGGGATAGTTTAGGAGCTACGAAGGCTAATGATCTATTCAATGGTCCATCTCCTCTAATGGTCCATCTAAGAATCACTGGCAGACACATTGGCTTTTGTGAACCACCGGCAGCTAGAATGGCTTTTAAATAGCCAGCCTGAGTTGTGTTGAACTCACATACTTACCGTTCATGTATTTGGTTGCAGAATACATACAAATATCAGCCCCCAGAGATAAAGGACGCTGAAATGAAATGAAATTAAAATAATAGGTCCAATTAAAGCTTGTGTGCACTCTGGTTCATTTCAAGCTATGCAGAAAGGCTGTGATCCAACACAGAAAACAACAATAGGTGGAGAAACTAAAAAAAAAACCACAAAAACTTAACACAAAACTTAACACCTTAAACACAAAAACATGAGAATGAAGATAGACAGAATATGTGACAAAAACAATAGTACGGGAAAGCACTCTGAATTGAAGATAAGCACAATAAAAAGAACCCACAATAAAATGTGATTTAAAAGCATTGGTCTAATTCCCACTGGCTTCAGAGAGAGAAGTGATTGAATACATCTAACATACAGCCCGTTCATATTTCTGAAAAACAATGGTTATATTGCTTAGCTGAGGCAGAGATAAGTAATGGCATTTACTCTAAAGTATATTTCCTTAGAAAATGAAGACTTCAACAGTCTGCAAAGCAAAAAAAATTGCATTATTTTCTAGATATCAGTATTGGTGATACTGCACCGAAAGAACAACTGAAAACCTGAAGAAAGTGCAAAGGGTTTTGTTTGCCAGGTCTCTCTTCCCTAACCTCCCAGCTTTTTTCCCCAGAAGCCTTTTTAAGGTGAGGCAAACTGAGATGAGATGGGCAAGAAGCAATGAACAATTTTTTTTTTTTAAACAGTCACTAAGTAAAGGACTTTGCACATAATATAAACATATTATAAAGACTGAAGAGTATCAATATGTTAAAAGGTAACAAAGCAAGCAGATTTAGAATAAAAGACTGCTGCTGTCAGATTAAACACGGACGTCTATTCAAGGAACCAGTGGATAATGTGCATTTCCAATGCACAGCCAGGATCACGGTAACATAAACACCGGTGCCTTTTACATTCAACATTGCTAAATAAATCACTCTAAAATTATGATCTTCTTAGTACAGTGTATCAGCAGCAGTCTGGAGTGGTTTAAAGACATTACCTATTATGCTTAGTACAATTAATCATTACAACTTACTTTCTCTTAGCACCAGGCCAATAAAAGATACATTAACTAGCTCATATATCCAGATGTTCACTTGTCTTTCACACACGTCTTTCTGAAGTAATATACATTGCAGGGGGGAATCACCAAACCTTTGGTATGTACAAAACAAATTCAAGTGCTGCTTTAGCTAAGCATTAACACTTTCTGGAAAGCTCTCTTAATTTATAAAGATCTCAGTGCCCCTAACAAAAACAAAGATGCCTTGCCTTTTGCACTCATAAAAAAGTTTTACTTTAGACCTAAAATACAAGGGATTAGCTTGGTCTCCTGGGAAATATACACAAATATTTCTAGCCCATGTTAAGATGAACAAGACTTTGAAGTTAATTATTCCGAAGCATTTTTAGAACTTAAGAAATTGTCTTCACTTCATGTATTCTAGTTATAAAAGCAGAAAAGTTATGCCAGTTGTTTGAGATCAAAATTACAAACTCGTAAGCCATGCATTCACCAAAATATTGAAGAAAAAGGTAACTTGAATGTCTCAAAGAAAGATTTAACAAAGTTTGCTTGTTTTAACTTTTTCTTCCACTACCTTTTTTAGAACATCAAGTGGTTCAGAACAGATCATAAACAGCACATACAAAAGAATCGGTATAAAAAGGCCAAAGTTAGAAAACAGGACTCTTTTTAACAGGCCATCAGTGAGAACTAAAAACCAGGATTTTTGAATGACAGAGAAGCCATTCTCCCAATGACTCACCTGGCTGTCTTGATTCAGTGTGTTTACTTGACTGCTGAGCTATATTGGTTTTGCTGGTATCACACTGGTATATGGCTAGCTATAAAATACTTTGCATACCATCTTTACTAATGTAAACAGCAGTAGTACATGGGTTGTATTTAGAAATGTATTTAGGTAATTTTACAATGCATAGATCAAAACTACAGTTCCTTGGTAGTGCTTCCATTTTAAAAATGTATCTTTGAATACACTGAAATAATGGGATAATTGTAAACAAACAAAGTGCTTACCTGGAAATACGCAGACATAAAAGTGTTGTCTACCACTAGAAGAACATCTTTATGCTTATGTACTACATCTGCACAGGCCTGAATGTCGATGACCTTCAGCGTGGGGTTTGTGGGCGTTTCAATCCAAACGAGCTACAGTAATTCAACATAAAACATCAGTTTAAAGATTTTACAATGCTGGTGATGATACATGTGTAAGTCGTAAGTGCTTTTAAATGTCAATTCGTTGAGCGTCAGCTTCCCATGCAGGTTTGCAGAGTGGCAATAAGAAAGTGTCCCTACTGAAGAAAGGCAAGGTTTCTTGGGAGAGAACCCTTGTGTTCTCCACAAAAACAACAGATACATGGGAAGAACATCAAAGCTTTTGAAAACCTAAGTGCATCACATCTGAAGAAGGCCTGACATGGCCAGAAGAAAGTCTTTACATCCAAAAGTCTGTAAGCCTTTTCCAGCTGAATTATCTTCCACTAGAGCAGGGGATTATCTGCTGCAGTACCATGAGCATCTCCTCCTCCTCAGACCTTGGTGTTCCTTCTGCTGTTTCTTACCTTTTCCCTCCTCCTCTCTCCCTCTGGTGTTTTTTGCCCTTCTTGAAATGTTTTCAATGAGGCACCACAAAAGTCACCAAGTGGCCTGCAGTGGGGACGTGTTGGATCCAGCTGTGCCCCAAGCTGTCCCCGCAGAGGCCACCCCTGCAGCCCCCTCTGATTGACACATACACCCAAGACAACAAGAGCACGAATAAAATTATGTAATGACATTAAGCAAGTAAGTTCAGCAACTTCCCTCTCCCCTACCTTGGTCTCTGGTGTAATTGCAGCTTCCAGGCATTCCATTTTTGTGCAGTCAACAAAAACTACATTCAAACCCATTTTCATGGCTACTTTCCTGAAGTATCTGTTTGTGCCTAAAAAAAAACCGAAAGAAAACCAAAACAAACAAAACAAAAAAATCAGAGACACAAAATGAAACAACTTCCTTAACTCTTCTTCACTGATCTCCAGTCTCTTGTATGCATCCACGGAAAGTCAGGAGGGTACAGTTTTATGCTGTACACCATAAATGGCACATTAGTATTTTTTTATTCCTAAAAAGTTTAAAGATTGCTGTGGATTTAAACATCATGGAAAAGTAATAATGGAAATATGGAATCAGAGTAACTTATTAAGTACTTTCAATTAATAGTTGGGTTTTTTTTTTAATCAGAAAATTAAATAGACCCCTTTTAGTTTGCCTGCTTCTAACTTTTCCTTCAGCCCTTTGCCATGTACAAGCTAGCAGTTCCAGGTTTTATATTCTCTTTCCCAAAAAAAACTTTTTTCCACCACATATTTTCAACCTCTTTTTTTCTATTTAAATTTTTTAATTTTCTATTTAAGCTAATTGAGACTCTGGGAGAAGAAGAATCAAGGGGAAGACTCCAGCCACTGTGTTTCCATTAAATAAACATGTAGCAAGGAACATAAAAAAGTGATTATTTCCTTCCCTTCCGTCTTTGAAGCCTTTCATGGGAAAGATTAAAAGAACAAACCAGAAGCAACCAGTTGATCACTAGATGTGCAACATACTATCTGGCAACACTGCCTGGATTAAAAATTAATTCATTAGATCTTTCTGCCAAGGTTATTCAACATTTACTCACTTACGCAGAACAGCAGTTTGCCATCTAGCCATGAAGTCATAGTACATGCAGGGTATGATTCTGTGTGCTGAACGCTACATCTAAATGTTTTGTGCTTTTTTTTTTTAAAGGAAATACTTTTATTTCTACAATAAGCTATATAATATATTCTCTCTTGTGCTGTAAGAAGTTTATTCAAGCATGAGAAATTTTCACTCAGGCTGTCAACTCTACAAACACAAACCATAGAAAAGTTGCTTTATAGTAGTCTTTCTTACATACTTTTAATAATAGCACACTACAAAAAACCTTAGATGGAAATGACAGGTTACACTAAAAGTAGTCCTTTTAAGAAGTTACAGCAATGGCTCCGCATTCAGAGGTGCCAACTACCTACAGCTCCTCCTCACGCCTCCCAAAACTCAGCATCTCTTAAACACGTCCCAGACAATATGCTTTCCAGCATTGCCCGAGAGCTTTTCATTTTCTTTCACTGTTTTTCTGACAACCTTGAATACTGCAGACTCATTTGAGTTAGCAAGCGCAGTACTGCTTTCCTATCCAACCAGGCTTTTTACAAAAAACACACTAAAAGCTTACCAAAGCTGGTGTACCCTCAAGGGAGCAGGGACACATGCCAGCACTCAGTACCCAGTGATTCAAAGGTTGCTATTACTGGGCTGAAGTATGAAAGGCTGCACAGGGCAAGCGTGGTGGAGGAGTAAACCCCGCACGGCAAAAAGGAGTCAGCGCCGGCAACAGCGAGGAAATGGCTGACAAAGGACCGGGCTGTAGTGTACAAGAACACGAGCAGGAAAGATGACTAGGAACAGCCAGAAGACCACAGCCTAGGAGAAAAGCAAGCAGGGACTCAGGGGACAAGGAGCCCCTAATATCCGAGGGAAGAATAAAGGGGCTGAACACATACTGGCCACGGGGGCCAGTGGCAGATCTGCAGATGTACTATGTCATGGGGTGTGAACTCTACTGAAAAAGGCTGTCTGTGGGGAAGCCAGTCTCTTTACAACAAAAATATGAAAAAAAATTCAGGGAAGAAACAATGAAATTCATCTCTGCAGAAACCACCACAGGCTGAGGCTTTAATAAGCTGGTGAACTGGTTTTGCTTGAAAAATACACCTATGGGCCTTTCTGAAGTGAGGAACTGATAACATGCTTTGGCCAAATGACTTTGATTTACCAAGTTCTGTGGTGGGAGGGCTGTGAATTAAAGGAGCAGACTGTCAATAGGGATTCCTGATGTCTTCACTTGGCTCCAGATGTACTTTGGAGAAGAGCTATCTGGCATGACAGAACTAAGACATTAAAAGCAAATGTGTGTATTTATATTTGATATGCACAAGCACAGAGAACTGACCTGCAAACAGTAATCACTCTTAGCGATGGGAAAGGTGATTACTCTTGCTAAAAGGTTTTCCAGCTTGGGAAAACGCTACCTGTTGCTGGCCTCTCTGACCTTCCTTTGAAAACAAAACAGATTCGATCTCTTTGTGCTAAGGCCTTGAAGCAAGTGGAGGAAGACAAGCTTTGCTGATCAGTGAAACACAGGAGTTGGTGGGCACAAAGGACACTGACTGTCACATCTTATCCTTATACTATGGGCTTTTGGGTGGCATCAACCTTTTGAAGGACTTCAGCAGAGGTGGATGAACTCTGTTTGCTCCTAGGGAGTTTCTTGGAAAAACGGGTAAAAAAAACCACTATGCATGACCAAAACCTAATAGTGGGCTGCAGCATCACTGAAGCATTCAGAAGACATGGGTGTAACAGATGAAAGTTGTGCTTTCAGGGGAGATGACAGAATAGTTGTCTGAAACAGTCCAGACAAAATGCTGGTTGGTAAAGGTCAAACCTAGGAAAGGAATAGTAGAAATACCAGAAGCTGGAAAGCTGTGTTGCATTGGACTGCAGGGGGTCCTGCTCTGCAAACAAACCTGTGCAAGGCTAGGATGTTGCTATTTTCCCCTCATTCAAGCATATATTACTAGTTAGCTGTATTTTTTAAACCTCCACGTTGTGCCGCAGAATATTTCAGTGTTTGAATTTCTAACACCAAAATCAGACAGGAGTGTTCTGTGTTCTCATGAAGTGAAAAGGCTTTAAAGAAAAGTAAGGTCCTACGTGGGAAATCCAGAAAGTTCACGAGAATCACAAATAGGTACATTTAATCATTTCCACAATGAAGATCAAAAACACACTTGTGCTTTACATACCTCCATAGACATCATCCATGCAGATAATCGTATCCCCTGCCTTTAACAGGTGAGTAATATTCAAAGTAGCAGCTAAGCCAGAAGCATAAGCTAAACCTAAAACAGAAAAGAGTAAGTGGCAGACAGACTGTATTTTAATATGATACAACCTTGTCAAACTTGCCTTTGCTTTCCTCACTTTGCTTTTAAAAGAAACCTGTTCTGTCACTCTCATTTATGCTATCTCATTCATTAAGTGGATTCAGTAAAAGCAGCAGCCTGATTTTACGCAGGGTGGAACCCAGGATGAGCACTGGTAACACAGTCTGGTAACAGCTGCTGCGGGGCTCCCGCTCCCCACTACATTCAGTGCTGCTGCACAAGGACGGACTCAGTTTAGGCATCAAATGCAGCGAGGGGAAGCAAAGTCACTACAGAAAGTCCAATATTTGAGCTGGACTCTCCTGAACGATAAGTGTTGGACTCTTTTCACACCACGAAGCAGCTCTTGCCCCTCACCAGTAGTCAGCGGCTGTGAAAGCCTTGCTGTGATACAACTGCTGCCGACAACTCACTGTCCTTGCTCCCAAGTTATGCCTACTGTAGACGCCGTCACGAGACACACATGCTGACATCTTTCTTGAGGAACCTATTAATTGCTTACAGTATTTAGCTCCATCGAGCGCTGCCACAGCCTTCTCCAGGCAATTCCGGGTAGGGTTTCCACTCCGGCTGTATTCATAACCCTATTGTGAAAGCAAGAAAAAAATATAACTTGAGAGAGCACTGAGAAAGTTTTTTTACAATAGTAGTCCTAGGTTCCTTAAAAAGTCCTCACTCTCAACACTGAGGTTACGCATCCACCTCCTCCAAGAACAGCAGGCTGGTTTTCTGGCTACATCAAGCTGCTGTACACAACATCCGACCGGGCATCCCCAACCTGAAAATGGTTTCTAGGGGTGCACTGGGGGAAGTATCGTACTGCTAGCCACGCTCTCCTACTTTTTCCTAGATTTCCGTCTCTGGTCACTGTTGGAGAAAAGGCCTTGGTCTGACACAGTCCACTCATTCTTATGTTATCAGCAAGAATGTGTCCCATCTCCACAACGCTCTGCTTGAAAGATGGGGCCAGATAGGGCACTAGCCAGTGCCAACCTGTACCCATCAAAAGTTCCTGAAAGCTCAAACGTTTCCCTGGCATGCAATCAGGCCAAGTTTCACACTGCAGGGCAACAGCTTTTATGGGAATACTGAGAAAATTTAACACGAAAAAAAAAATACTCATGCATGCATGGATGCACTTGTTACAGAGAGAACCTGGCTAAGCATCCTGGTATTTGCGTACTTTCAGGATTTCTGTTTAATGACAACTTCATCATATTCAGGAATCTGGCAGACCGCTCTCACGGAGCTTCCGGCAAGAACGTGGCCACTCTATCATCAGTACGTGAATACAGCAGCGTGTGACTCCTTCTTCTGTGGTCTTCTTCAACACAGCTACCTACTTACAAGCATTCACAATTTTAGTCTGTGATTTTGTGTGGAATCAAAGATCACAAGGCAAATTCCTATTGCCCAACCAGCACACTGTGATGTTCAGATCTCGGGTTTGGAACAAATACTGATTTATGAGTTGCGAATTTGTGTCGTTTCCCTCATACATGCATGGTAGCAACCAGAAACTTCATGATAGTTCAACGCAAACACTTCCAGGACTTTCTACAATACATCCACAGAATACTTATGAAATATTCATTGGGTCTGGAAGGACAACCGAAGCAGCCTCTTACACAATCTGTGTAAATGAGAAAAAGTACTCTGCCTGGTCCCAGCGGCAAAGTAAAGCACTGTTACCACGCAGTCTTCAAGGAAGTCCCCAGCTGCGTGCAGACCACCCGACCAAGGCCTGAACCTTCACGCGGTCACCAGCTTCTGCCCCCCGCCGGCAGCAGGGGGTCTGCCGAGCCCGGGGGGCGCTGGGTGCTCCCCTCCATGCGGCTCTCACGCTGAGAGTCACCCTAAACGTGCCCTCCGCGGGAGAACACGTCTCTTCCAGTGGGAAAAAGATGTTTGAGGTTTTTTTTCAGGAGCTAGCACGAGGGAAAATATTTCCACGCGCTGCAAACC